AAGGCTTGATTTCACATGGCTGATTCCCACAAATCAATCCATCATTTTGGCACTTGGTGTAAACCAGAAGATGGGAAACAATGGGCTTGCTTGATAACGAAGAATAGATTACATGGGTCACCTTCTTGGGCTGAAATACACTCTCTGCCTGTGTGGATTATCTTTATTCCCCAGCTGCTCAAGAGGGATCCTCAAGCATGGATCATGGCAAAGACCAGCTGGCGGAGGTCCCCGTGCCTCCTTTGCAGACACTGCCAGCCCCACACAATTCTCTGATTTTGCTTTCTCATCTCTGAGGGTATTTGGTCTCAGCACCCATTTCTTCAGAGCCTGGGCAGAGAGTTTCACCGCTACCTGCCGAAACTCGCTGTCTTCCCCAGCTATCGGGGAATGGTGGCGGCACCCTGAGGTCTTCCAGCCCAGTGGGAAGGTCATTTCACGTCTTGTCATTAATGCTCGCAAAGCTAACTTCAACATGAATGCTGTGCGAAGCTGAATAAGCTGAGATCTGGGACAGTGTTCAGACATTTACGCTTTCCCCTCCCATCACAGAGCAGCCTTTGCAGCCAAGGGGAGAAGGTGTGCACTTAGCTCATAAAAATAAACAGTGTTCCCTGCTGCATTCCTGGACGTAATGTTTGCAGATCTGATATTCACTTGTGCCGCTCCGGCAAGCATTAGTTGGCTCAAATACTAAATATTTACATAACGTGTGTCACGTGGAGACTGTGAGGAGGGAAAGCATCATTGCTCCCACTTACAGGGGAGTTAAGTCACTTGTCCATGGCTGCTCTGGAAAGAGCCAAGCAGGACCTAAAAGCCAGCAGAACCCCAGGGCACAAAGCTGCTCTCTTTCCCAGGGATCTAGAGAGCTGTCATTTTGGGGAAAGCTGTCCCTTGCTAGTGGGAGAGGAGCAATTCCCTGTTCCCTATTCATCACGGGCAGCTGGCTAAAGCTTTGGGTGCCCCATGGAAAATCAGGTCCTTGTGTACACTGTGGTGGCATCACTGAGACTGGGCAGCTGGACCTGCTACACGGCTTAATTTCATGTGGGAGACGATGCCAGAGGCTTTAAAGAAGCAGCTGCCCCTTAACTCCAGAAATGACCCCGACTTCTGAGAAAACTCATCTCTTCCAGCCTGTGCTGCAAAAAAATTGTTGCTCTTTCTGTTGACAACAAGCCATAAATTATCCTGTTATATAAAAGGAACCGGTAGCCTGAGGATCTGTGCTCCAGCCAGCTAGCAGGGGGGTTGTTTTTAGCAGGGAAGGGCAAAATCCTTGCATTTAAGTGAGATGCCCCCACTTTATCCAGGTTGTTGCCCAGCAGCCTGCTGGCTTTCTATAGGTTTCTACAGTAAAGGTCGCATAGATGGCTTGGGAATAACGCACTCCCCTTGCTGCATGTCATGTGGATGGAGCTGAAAGTCTCTCAGGACTGGTTGTCTCCTGCATGTTTATTTTATTCAGTGGTATCATGTCAGTGTGTCTGCCTAAATATAGCTTCTGTGAAGAGCATTTCTAAGTTTCCTGTTACAGTTTCACTTGCAGTTACCTTACAGTAAATGGAGGAAAATCAATGTAATTTCCATTACGCGCCGAGTCTAAATGTGCCTTGCTGGAAATTCTGCCCAGATTGATTCTCCTCTTATGGAAACTGCCTGTCCTCTCTGCCTCTCTCCCTCCTCTTTTATTGGAATAAACCACAATTTTATCATTTAAAACCCCCTCACTCTCCTTTGTCTGATGTGCCCTGCAGATAAGGCTCTCACAGGAACTGACAGTGCAGAAACCATGGAGTCCCTGGACAGAGCTGCAACGGCGAAGCCCGGATTAATTGACTCTGTGGCATTTGGACATGACCGTTTCAGCAGCTTCTACAGAGTAAAATGAGCAGAAGGGTCAAATTCAAGGTAATCTCTGAATAGCAAACATTAGCCTAGAGCTTGCTTCCTTTGTCTTTTACAGACTACACAATCCTACAAGTAGCAAGAAAATGATTGATTTAAAACTGTATTCCCTTTGCCGTGGTGTTTAAATACAGCTCTTTTACCCGTCCTACTGCCTTCCAGTAACATGTATCCGCAGATACACAGAAAAAATACTATTATCAAATCTCTGCAGTGTCAGTGTCAGCCAGTCACCAGTAAACAATCACAGCTATAAAATGATCCAACAGATGTTATGCTAGAGATGAGTACTCTGAAATAGAAAGTCTAAAAATACATCTACAGGTCCGAATCACACCCTCTTTTTTATGCCATGCTCTGCCATTTTTGGCCCACAATTGGCTCCTTGGTTCCAAATGTGGCTAGTGCCGTGGCCACCAGCACACACTGGGATGGGGCAGGACATTGTCACGTGGGGCCCAGCCTGCAGTGCCCATCCAAGGAACAGTCATTACCCTGAACTGGTTCATTTGAGGTTTAGTATAATTATTATTATTTGCCCCTCTAATATCTCTGTAATGCCAGGGCCTTTTCCAGTTCCAATAGACTTTCAGAAATGGTGCATATTGATAGATATTTTTGAAGACTTGGACCTGAGGTAGGATTTAATACCCAGAGGAGTTGTGTTGGTATGTGCAAAAGGCAAAGCACCAAAGCCTCAGCCGCTGTAGGAAAGTGGGTTATGGCAGAGGGAGATCAAGTCACAAAAGGGGATGACACCACTGTGCTGTGACACCACTCTGTCCCGGTGGGGCTGGAGCTGGCGGTTCTGCACTCCCATTATGGGTCCCCTGCCCCTGAGTCCAGCAGAGCTGTTTCATCAGGAGGTTTTGGTTTTATCTTTCTTCCACATCCTGAGACTCTGAGCCAGATGGAGAGCACAGAGCCATCAGGGGTTAAGCAGCTGCTTTACATAACAATATCTACCAAAGCCTGGAGACAAATGCAGGGGTTTTTAAAGGGTTTTTTTGTGCTTTTTTAAAAGCAGGGACCTAGAAGATGTATCAGTAATGTCCTTCCTGCAGAGAGGGTGCTTCGGCCAGGAGGACCCCAAAGAGGGCCCCAACAGACCTGTCACCATTGTGTTCTTGGGGGCTCATTCCTACAAGTGAGGAGCAGATGACACCAGTCGTTTTGGCGTGCAGTTGTACAATCTTGGGCTGTGATCCTATCAGACCTTGTGAGTCAAACAAGACAAGGCCATGGCAGCAGCTGCCTGGGAGATTTCCAGGAAAAAGAAATAAGCAAGCAGCCTTTACAAATCTACCTTAACAAACCTGATCCTCTGTTCAGTTCAGGGCCCGTGCAAGGAGTGCTTTACATAACAATGGATGGGGCATGGGGCAGGATGGGGCATTAAAGCCTCAAATCTGCAGTCAGTTCAAAGACCCCAGTCCCAACCCAGATCTGTGATATGGTCTGGGCGGGAGGTAGCATTTCCCAGATCTCCTGAGCTGTCTATAGAGCTTCTTTGGCTATTTAAAGTCTCCTGCTTGGACTACCATCGAACAAAGATGGATGGAACTGACATAATCCCTGAGCAGAAATGGGAGCTGCACAGCCAGAAAGGAGGGATGGGATCAGAGGAAGGAGGATAAGCAGAAGAGCTCCCGGGAGAGAGTAATATGTTCTGCTCTCATCTCTGAAGGCAAGTGAACCGCCACTTTGATAAGAAATGGCCTGAGAAGCCCTGGTAGCTTCCATCAGTGCCAACCTCTGGGGCAAGAGGGATGATCCAGAGGACACTGGCAGCTGGCACAGGGGATATCCTAGTGCCCAGGGATGGGGCTGGCTGCCCCTCCAGCCTGCTTGGCAGGACTAGTGTGCAATGGGCCTGATCCTCCAGGCATGCCCATGCCTGTACGGCACATCCATTGGCTGCGTATCCATGGAGCAGCTGCCCTGTGTGCTGCCACTTCCTTAGAACAGACATGTCTGCTGGAGAAGGTATGGGAGGGTAGTGCCTGGTCCCTTGGGCTGCAAACACTCCCCTGTCTCTCTGGACAGGAGAAATGCAAGCCATAGGACAGGAAGGAATGGAATGAAGCTGCATCAGAGAAAGTTGAGATTGGACATTAGGAAAAGGTTCTTCACTGAGAGGGTGGTCAGTCAATGGAACAGGCTCCGCAGGGAAGTAGTCATGGTACCAAGCCTCTCAGAGTTCAAGGAGCATCTGAACGATGCTCTTAGTCATATGGTTTAGTGTTAGGTAGTCCTGTGAGGAGCAGGAAATTGGACTCGATGATACTTATGGGCTCCTTCCAACATGAGATATGCTAAGATTCTATGATAATAATCTGAGGGTCATACAAGACTAGGAAGTTTTGAGGGAACCCAGCCCCAGGGAGGCAGAACGCTTCCCGAAAAGGCAGGTCGGGTTGGCAGACCAGGGGAGTAGTGAATGAATTCTTTATTTTGCTTTTTGCTTAGACATGTAGTTTTTACTTTACATCCTAAACTGTCTTAGCTGAACTCAAAAGATTTCCCACTTTTACCCTTCAGATTCTCTCCACCATCCTACCGGGGGCAAGTGATTGAGCAGCTGTGTGATGCCAAACTGCCTATAGGGATTAACCCAAAACACCTGGGAAGGCAAAGCCCAGTGAATCATGAAACCAGAGCCCACCACATCAGCTTTTCAGCAAAATGCTCCCCGAATCTGGGACAGCTGAGCAGTCAGCACCCTATGCCCCCCTTCCCCCCACCAAACTGATGCACAGGCACTCACGGACACAGTGTTTGTGTGTTAAACATCTATTTACAGGGTAAAGCTGCCAGAGGGAACGGACTCTCTCGAAGAGGCAGGGCGGTGGCTGTCCAGGTGGTAACAGGAGTCTCTGTTGCAAGGCTCCTTGCGACAGTGAGCTCAGCAGCATCAGGTCCCACTCCCCAGAGTGTGCTTTTGCTGCAGAGGAAAGGTGTGGCAGCAATTCCTCCCACTGCCAACTGAGTAGCGTGTTCTCCATGTCCAGCATGCTCAGTTCTGCAGCACCAGCTGCCTGGGGAGTACCTAGGGGACACAAACACAGCTCTGTGGGTGAGAACCCCTTTCAGTGTCTGTAGAAGAGCAGTTCCGTGAATCGCTCTTGCAGTTCATCGAACTCACTCATTGCCTTGACGTAGGTGGCCGGGTCCTGCACCAGGTAGACAGCATCACACCCACAGGGACTCCAACCTTTGAAGGCACTGCCCATGCTGATGGCTGGCTGCAGGACTGGGAAGGAACTATTTGACAAGCACTCTTGGAGAGACCCACCAGTCTCTTCCACCACCCGGCTCCTGTAGGCCAGGCGCTGTGCTGATGAGTGGATGCGCTTTGTAAAACTCCTGAAGCGACACCTCTCATATTCATCAGAATCTTCTCGTTCACTGAATACCTCAGCGCACTCTGTGTTGCTGTGGGAGGTCTCCACCACTGCTTGCTGGCTGACAGCATCTTTTTCCTGAGCCACCCACCAGCAGAGCTCGAAGAGCAGGACTAGGACTAGGACACAGAGGCACTCCCACCAACCAGCATTGCCCTTCAGCCCAACTTGGTCTCAGCAACTGACAGCTGCCCAGGGCCGCCAAAGGCACAGGGAGGCACATCAGTAGTGCCTCTCACCTGGGAACGTCTAGATCCTGGTGAAATGGCCTGGGATGTGACAGTGTGACAGGAAAGCAGGGTGAAAGTAATCTTTGCAGCCACTGCTTTCATAACTGCTGCTATGCTGAGGAGACCATCTGGAGGATGATGTTGCTGCTCTTGGTTTTCCCTTTCGTTTCTGTCCCCCCCAGCAGCCTCTTTCAGCCACCTCACGCTCTCCTTGGCTCTCTCTCTGTGGCTACTTTGCAGTGCTGTTAAAGCTGACCTCAGTCTATTCCATGCTCACAAATGTGTTGCCTTGCTGCACCGCTAAGATCAGTTCAATGTAGAGGGAAGTCTTGACAGGGCTGGTCAGCTTGAGCTTGCAGAAGCGTGTAGAGGGCAACACTGTTAGGTTACATGTGTCTGCCCAAGGCACAGCAACACTGGCTGCTGTCATCAGGTCCTGGAGCCAGAAGGCGGTTTTCTGCACATCAAGGTACGAGGCGGTGCAGAGGGTTTGTAGGAGGCTGATTTCCTGACTGCTCATCAGCTCATCCTCAGGGTGGTGGAGGAAGCACAACATGTCCCCCAGCCGCCGCTCCCTTGTGCACATGCACTCGAGTTCCACACGCACGTGTGCGTCCCTCACCAGCATATCTCCTTTGCTGCCCAACTCGAGGTGGAAGGAGTGCCCAGGGGGTGGCTTCAGAGGGACAAGCAATCGATAGACAAGCTCTTCTCCAAAGGCACTCCACCCTTCCAGAACGCCGCCCACACCAACAGCTGGCTGCACCCGTGGCATGAAGTTATTGCTGGAGAGGATTCGGCAGGCACAGAGAAGGTCGTTCACCAGCTCTTCCACCAATGTGCATATTCTTTGCCTGTTTGGCAGTGGCCATGACGTGTACTCATCGAGAAATCTGTAAATATGTAATGGCTCCTCTTCCTCCTCGTACTCCTCATCCTCACAGCTCGATTTCCAGAGCCACCAGCGGAGTCTGAAGAGCAGGACCAGGACTGCAGCAACCGCCCACAACTGCCACTGCTGCAAGGCAGCGAAGAGCAGGTGTCCCCAGGCAGAGGTGAT